AGATATAACAAAAGGAGTTTTATGGAAAAACAAGTCTATAAACAACCTATAGGGGAAAATACTTCACTGGTTTGAACTATCATAGCTCCATTGACATCAAGCTGAGGAACTGCCCTTTGATAATGTGCAATATTGATTAATGAAGCTCTCTCTCCTGAGAATGCCCAGAGAATGGCAACCACATATAAAATACATCTATTTAAATAAACTAATTTAATATTCATTAGTGATTTTTTTGGTAAAATCAAAAGGTATATTGAAGAGGAGTCACAAATCATATATACTGCAACATTAATTTAAACTGAGCACTCAAGGAAAAAGGATCAGTTCTATTTTCTGACATTGTTATTTCCCTGTAGCATTTCTGCCAGACAGCAAGAATGAAAACTTATTAAAAAATAGATATTGGGAATAAGCAACAGGATAAAAAGCCATAGTTGCTGTAAATATATGGTATTCACCACCTGATAAATTATAGAAAATCCAGACAATTCTGAAGTGAAATTCAGACAAATATTTCACTTTACTAATTTTCTCTACTACAGTTGTGACAGCTAATGTTGAAGATCATTGCATGAGTGTTTATCTGAGGGAGCAGTATTTGAGGTGATGAGGATCAGAAGGGGAAAGAATATGGTTATTTTAAAAAACCAATCACACAAGGTAAAACAATTAAAAAGTTGTAACATACCATATCTTCTTTATCCAATCCTTCTCCTATATTTCATATCCCCAAAATAAATGAAAAAAGGAAAAAATAGAGCTCCGAAAGAAAAGATAAAGCCCCAAAAATTTGTCTTTATAAAATCTAATACAAAGTTCATAGCATCAATTCCAATAAGTGTGCGTGCACTATATAAAACCCTAGATCAGAGATTACAGATATGTATGTATATGCATATATAAAGTCTTCACTGACTTGATTATGACTAATTGCTGCTTATAGATTTTGTGCTTTAACAACAAAATCTTTAACAACAAAAATCTGCAATTGCCCGAATAAGTAGTATGTTTATGTATTCTGAAGCATATATCAAGTGCAAATATTTTGCAAGGTATTCCCAGAGCCAGACTATGTGAAACACAAAGCCCTCAGGCGCCATCATTCTCTTGGGGACCTAGAAATGTCAGAGCTAATCTGTTTTCATTTTTAAAAATGAGTATATTCCTAGTCTTTTTCTTTGGGGGAAAAAAAGGAAAAAAAGTAAATATAATTAGGGTTAGGAATTTGGATTTTTCTTAAAGATCTTTATATTCTCCATCTCTGCAACAGTCACCTCAAGCTAGCCTTTTGGCTTCATGAAACACTTGGTCACAGGTCCCTTGATCTATGAGAAAACCCCAGAGAAACTTGTGAGTGTGACAAACATTGCTGCCCAAGTTGTTGTTGCTACAAACTCACTCCCAAATGGCTACTGTATAGGGTTGCCAGGTGTCTGTTTTTTCCCCCCAACTGTCCGTTATTCAGGTCCCCCGTCCGGTAAAAAAACCCCAGAAAATAGACAGACATGTGAAATGTCCGTTATCGTCTGCTTCCTTTGGACGGAAGCCGGGTGGGAATAATTTTCCCCAGCCATGTCTGGCGGGGGCGGGGGAGTGAGGAGCAGAGGACCATTTAAGGGTGCACAGCACTTTTTTTTGGCTCAACAACTTTGGTCTCCCCCCCCCCCCTTTTTTTTTTTCTGTTTTTTGGGGGCGAGCAGGAGGGGTTTGGTATTTTTTGTTAAACCATCTGGCAACCCTACTTTCAAATGAGATGCTTTCTCTTCAGAACAGCTAATGGGGTCGCTAGCCAAAAGAAGAGGCAACTTAGTAATGTAAGGTGAACTCAGCAGCAACAAAGGTCAGGTTCAATATGCAGACTTCTTTTTTACAAAATGAATCTTCTTAAGTGTAGAAGCTATTTCATATTTAGCTAGAAGCCATTCTGTATAACAAAAGCCATTTCAGTTTCTTGTGTCTGCACGAGGGAGTGAACTGGCCTTCACCGAGGTGGGGAGAGACCAGAGGGATGCGCTGTTGGAATGTGTTAATGAACTATTTTGAGCTGAAGCTCGAACTCCCTTTTAACCTGTTTCTTTCTATGCTGATAATAATTCCTCTTTGAAGTTCTCTTTGATTTCTTGCCCTGACGTCAGACTTGTTTGGTTAAGGGTATAAAATACTAGGATTGATTGTATTAAGCAGCCTTACTGGACCCAGCTTTGCTGGGACCACGTTTGGCTCACTTTGCTTTTATTGGCCAATAAAACTGTCTGTTTAGCCGCATAAACTGAGTGAGGCGTTTGCTTCGACATACCTATACACACAAACATTATACACTCACATAAATAGCGTACACAGGATCAGCAAACAATAAGCTCCCATTCAATACCCCACATGGCCCCCTTTTATACCATTGTTGGGGCCAGCACCCCCACCTATGGGTGGCATTCTTTCGAAATTAAATCGAAAGAACGCGGCTTTTCTTTCGATGGCGGTAAACCTCATTTCACGAGGAAGAACGCCTTCTTTCGAAAGTTCCTCTTTCGAAAGAAGGCGTTCTTCAATGTAAATAGGGCTTCTTCGAAAGAGAGCATCCAGACTCACTGGATGCTTTCTTTCGAAAAAGCAAGCCGCTTTTTCGAAAGTTCAACGTGCAGTCTAGACGCTCGCTTTCGAAAGAGGCTCTTTCGAAAGTATCTTTCAAAAGAGCCTCTTTCGAAAGAGGCTTGCAGTCTAGACATAGCCTAACTGTGTTGCCCTACCAGTACATTTACTTTTCTCTCTCTCTTTTCAGATGTAAGATGTGGACCTCCACCTACAGTTAACAATGCCACTATTATAAATAGAAAAGAGAAACACTATCTGCCTCGTTCAAAGTTGCAGTATAAATGTGTGGAAGGTTTTAAAAGTATGGAGCCAAGTTATGTGATTTGTGAAGCAGATGGAAAATGGTCACAACCACCAGTTTGCAATGGTAGGAGTTTGCATTTTAATTACAAGTAAGAACATGTGCACATTGGTGAGCTGGGAACACAGAATCCTAGAAATGTAGGACTGGCAATGAACTTGAGAGATCATGTAGTCCATCCCCCTACATTAAGCAGGATTAAGTATCCTAGAAAATCCCTGACAGTTAAATTCTTCTTAAAACCACCAGTGATGGGGATTCCATAACCTGACAAAGTAACCTTTTTGGGGACTTAATTATCTTAGAAATTAGTGATGATGGAACATGTATCTTCCTGTTTTGGACTACATGTGACATTCCTGATCATGCTTTGCAGCGTGACCTTTTCCCTTTCTACAACAGTATCACACTTTTCATTCACCGAACTTGTGATCTATGAGGGTATATCTACACTACAGCACAAATTCGAACTAACTTAATTCGAATTAGTTAATTCGAACTAAGCTAATTCGAACTAGTGCATCTAGACCTAAAAACTAGTTTGAATTAGCATTTTGCTAATTCGAACTAGCATGTCCACATTGGAGAGGACTCTGAACCGAGGTTAAGGCTGGCTGGAAGCAGTGCCGGCAGGGCATCAGATTAGGACTTAGAGCATGGAGCTGCTGTCTCAGGCTAGCCGAGGGCTGTGGTTAAAGGGACCCAATCCCCACCCCGGACAGACAGTTCTCAGGGGTTCCCTGTTTGCAAAGCAGTCCTGGCTTGAAGTGCCCTGAGTGCCTACACTCAGCACATCACAGCACTCGGCCATCAGCCCGGCTGCACTTGCCGCAGGCTGCCATCCCGGCGGGGAGGGCTGTCAATCGAGGGGCTGCAGGAGAGCTTCCACCCCGAGAAGCCCGCAGAGCCACCCCAGTCCTCCCCATCGGGGGATCATACCCCATTCCTCCCTCACCTCCTTCCACTTACCCCTCCCTAGCCCCCCTTCCTGATGTACAAAATAAAGGACACGTGTGTTCAAAAATAGACACTCTCTTTATTGAACAGAACTCGGGGAGACTGGGAAAAGGAGGTGGGAGAGGGGAAGAGA